CCCCTTGATTGTGCGGACCGTTCTGGTGGCTAGCCGTTGCACTTTTTCTAATCTTTCTGCGTCCGTTGTTCAATAGGGAGCCTAAGGTTGGCTGCAGTATTCTAGACGGTTTTACGAGTGTTCCTCACGAAGGAACAACAAATCGGCTTCTCTACTCGCTATTGTCTCTAGGAGTCTAAACAGGCCATATGGGCTGCTTCGGCGCACTATTCCCTTGGAGAAAAACGAGCTCACAGCCCAACTGTGCATACATGCTAGTTCAAGCATTCTGGACTGATAAGAAGTGACAGCATGATCGCCATTGCTGTCGGTTCGCAGCCATGACCTTCAGTGTTTCCAACCATGCGATTTCGGAGTCTTTTGGACCCCAACCCGGAAGACGGGAGACACCTACTCTACCTAATCACTCTATACACTTATTCACGCCTCGTCTCCACGTCATCTGCTGGCCTCCGTGTGGCTTTCTCCAGCCTGTAACAGCCACTGTAAACAAGGCGCGCTGCGGTAGGCGACCGTCGGACATACGCAAAACGTGTCCTAACCAACGGAGCCTACTGAGCTGGATTCGATGAGATGGCGAGTTTTTGTTTGATGCATTCTCAAACACCCGACGACTTACTTCTAAGTTACTAACCCGCTCACTCCATCCCACTTGGGCCAGACTAAATAAGCATCGATTGTCAAAAACCACGGTCTCACAACCATAAAGTAGAGCTGATCGTACGGTGGTGCAGTATACGCGACTTTTCAAATTCAGTGACGCGTCACTGAACCAGATTCTGCCCCACTGGGGACATCAAATGAAGGTGAAGGCTCACAAAACGACCTAACCTTCCTGAGGTCTGGTGGTGGAGTGCTTTTTTGATTACACACATTTGTCCATCACGAAAAGACTCGCCTTGAAATGAAGTAATCCCTTGCTTGCCGCCATAACTCTGCGAGCCTCACTGGATGGCTTTTCACAGCCGTAGTTCCAATCATGCGTGGAAACTCAACGATTAGAGGCCAGACAGAGCTCAGCATCACAAAGCCAGCTGTTGGGGCATATCCTGGCTTCTTTCATCTATCCACTCCAGCCCCTGGAGAGGTCACTCCAGCAAAAGAAACAAGAGGAGGAGGAGCAGTTTACCGATCAAAAGCCCCGCTAGATGGCCGTAAGGGCGGGGTAATTGGGACTTCCTTCTGACGGTGGGAGAAGTCTTCGCACTTCACTGGACAGCTACCGCCCGCCCAAGCTGGACAGCCTCCAGCCAATAAAGCACTGTTCCGTCCACCTTCCGCTTGCCTCATTGGGTGCATGAGGCTAAGGGCCGATCCCGAAAAGCGGACCGTCAACCAACGCACCAGTGAATAAAACACAACCGAAATTCAAAGGTCTTGCGTGACAGATCTCTAGAAGCTCCCACACTGGTGCGTTGTTCATGCCCTCGCGTTGGATCTACGCCCCACTGCCTTGTGACTCAGACCTTTGAGTCGAAGGCTCCGATTAAGGTTCCCAAAGAAAAACCCCTTCATCGGTGTGGGCAATCGCGAAGTATGCCATGCCCCAAAATCTTGAGTACCCATTTGGAAAACCATCTTTCTTAACTGTCCACTACCTCTTCTCACTCCCTAACCTTAGGAGATGCATCCTGTTTGCGCCACCTATCGGATATCACTCAGCGTTCAACTAGTAAGGTCAACCAACCAGAAAGCTGCAGGTTTTTGAAACCAAGATCTCCTATTCACTCGGCCGCATTTAATGTCCGCACACTATCAGATCGGTCAACAAGCTGCCTTAGCTAGAACCCTTGAAACCTTCTATCTAGATGTATGCTATGTCTGCGAAACACGCATACAAGACCCTACTTCAGGCATCTTCCATTTTTTCTTTTCATGTTACTTCCTTTTATTGAATATACATAGATATAATTTTCAGGAAGGGGGAAGCGGCCAATCAATGGGCTGCCGTACAATACACAAATGGGGAAAGTCATGCGGTGGTGGTGGGATTCGAACACTCGTCCTCCAGGGTGATAATTAGTGACGTTACCACCGGGCCACCACCGCTCCAGATCCAACTTCATCCTCACGTTTCACTCTCCGTGCATCAGGTGATTCCACGTCTGAAGCTCGCGGTATTGCCGGTGTTGGGATTGCGCTGAGTGTCAAGGCCGAGCGTTCACTTCTCGATTGGATCCCGGATATCAGTCAACTTTGCACCAACTTCTTCACAGCGCTGAACTCAAATCGACCACATCGCCATAAGCCACCGCTGGCGAGGATCCATTGAAAACTGCGACTGCTACTGTTCAACACCCGTGACACGGACCATGCTCTGCTACGAGCGAGATTCTCCCTACGCCTAGTAAAGAACCGCAGAAAAGCCACCGAAAACGGATGCGCACAATACAGTGTCAGCAATGGTTGCAAGTCGGCCTACGAAGCAGAACCATCAGATCGTCTCTCAGATCAACCATCAGACGAAGGATTCACTAAACACTGGACGGCAATCAAGGAAGCGATCCAAATGTCAACCAAAACAACCACAGATTCTGAAACACCATCAACTAATAAAATGATAGATATCCATGACCTCGGTTACCCTGCTGGACGCTCGCAAAGCCATTCCTTCGGATTCAAAATACAACAAAGCGCTTAAATTCCTTAAACGCCAGCTCATCAAGAATTTGAGGAATGACCGCGAGAAGTGGTGTGCAGAAAAGTGTAGAGAGAGATGGAAAAGCTGCGGCTATTAGTAATAGCCGCAGTCTTTTCCGATTAATTAGGAACACAGATCCAAGGAAAGGAAGCGTAAGCGAGGTTATTAAGGAGTCCGACGGCACACTGATTCATATTCAGCAACGTCGTCTAGATCGATGGGAAGAACATTTTGGGGCTCAGTTCAGCTGGCCCTCGTCAGCACAAGACCTCCCTATACCCGCTTCAGCTGTGCAAATACTCCCAGTTGATGCCAGTTCTCCATCTCCAATGGAGGTTACCCGAGAAATAAATTATCTCCGAAGGCATAAGGCTTTCGGTCCAGACGGGCTGTCCGCATCGGTTTTGGAGTTAAGGAAACTCCTAGGGTCAGTGTGGGAGAGGAAACAGGTTCCAACTGAGTGGTGTAAATCGATGATCATTCCAATTTACAACAAAGGTGACAGGTCTTCTTGTGAAAATCATAGAGGAATTAGTTTACTCAACATTTATCCTAAAATTCTCGCTGATATCATACCCCGTCGATTCTCTGTCGCATGTCAAGAGTGCACGCGTGAGAACCAAGTTGTTTTTAGACCTCACAGAGGCTTTATCGACCGTATCTTCACTCTTCGTCAAATCCTAGAATATGTACACTCCTTTCGCAGACAAATCATTTCTGTCTACCTCGATCTGAAAGCGGCTTTCAACTCAGTCGACCGCTCTAAACTCTGGCGCTGCCCCTCATTGAAGGGTGTACCCGAGAAGTTTATTTCAATATTGCAATCACTCTATACTCATAGCCGAAGCCGAGTCTGAGCTTACGGCACTTTCTCACCTGACTTCATTGCAGAAAGTGGTGTTCGACAGGGTTGCCTTCTCTCCCGTTTTCTATTTAACTTTGTTATAGATCTGATTATGGAACCATCCCTATCCTCGTGCGAGGATAGTGGCATCGATTTACTTCCTGGTGGCAGACTGTCTGATCTAGAGTATGCAGACGACATTGTGCTACTAAGTGAAGATCCAAGTAAGTTGCAAGCTTTTCTGGACAGCCTGAATGTCAGTGTAGCCATGTTCGATATGCGTTTTGCACCTTCAAAGTGTTACTTCAAGACTGGTCCAGCACCGAATGTCACTCTAACTGGGGCAGTAAAAGAGCAAGTGGACTAGTTTTGTTATTTGGGCGGATACATCTCACCCACTGGACGCATCACGGATGAAGTGTCGGTGCGCATCCAGAAGGCTCGGTTGGCATCTGCAAACTGTGGCGCCAACGAGACATCCGGACGTCCTTGAAGGGTCGAGTATACGCTGCAGCAGTTTGGCCAGTGTTGCTTTACCATGCACACTTAGCCATTACCGGAACAGGATAAAAATAGATTGTCGGTGTTTGGACACAGCTGTCTACGTCGTATTGCATGAGTCTGGTGGGGTAACCGGACGAGCAATGCTGAGGTCAAGCGTAGTGTCTTAGCTAATGGAACAAGTAGTCGACCTCCATAGATTAACCCGGCTGGGGCATGTGCTACGTATGTCACCGAATAGGTTGCCACGGCGAGTAGTGAAGCAGGTAGTGGGTGGAAGAAATCCAAGGCTGGTCAAGCTAAGACCTGGCAAGAAGGCATGTAAACACTAACCCGCAGTCTGGATCACATAGGTACCGTTAGGCTCCCTGGATGGGAACCCGAGATCACAGTCACTGATGATTAGACATTGAGATATATGGCTGGATGTAGCAAACAGTGGCGCTCATACATCTACTCATTATTCTGGTAACTTCAGTCTATATTAGGATTTGCTATCTTTCGCCGGAATTCGGTCTCAATACTTCAACCCTCATTCTGCTGTTTTATCCAAATGGGCAACCT